GGGAGAGCTCCGCCTTAAAGGTCACATGACTCCTGGGAAGGCATCAGGTGACCTGCAGGAGAATGTTTCACCTGCTGTTCTTTTGAGTATAGGGCTTTCAAATGTTCATGTGATTTTTCTCCTTTTGTTCAACTGACTCTTCTCCATCTGTTTTTCATTGTAGGGGGAGGGGAGTGGCGGGGAGGGGGGGGGGGGTAGTCTGCAGGCACAGACCCTAATTTGACACTTTATCAAAAAATCAATGTGCCTTGAGAGAAGTCTAGCCCAGCTACCTACTAGTTGTGTCAGGAGCAGCTACAGTACATGGCCTATGGTAGTCTTATAGTGCAGACTCACTTTTACGACTGACCATCAGGGTTTGTGCTTTCAGACTAGGGGAGGGGGTCAGCAGGTCTATTATTCTGTTCTCCATTTGCAAATTTAAAAAAATTGTGCATGTGTGGACAATTTCACTTCTATTTCTTCATATTTACCCCCTTGCCTGTAGGAGCCTAGGAGCCTAAATGGGAATGAAAGAATACATTATTCATAGGGTTAATTATTCCTACCAATTAACTTATTTAGTATGCTGTAATTGTGCTCGTTGTAAATGTCCTTAGGGGATAAATTGTCCACTAGGCCAGCGAGGGGGGGGGGTTCTGTAGAGGATGTCGTACAGGGTCAATTTTCAAAATTTAAGCACTCTTATGTGTTACTGTCTGTTAGGGTTCTATAAATTTATATGTTGGGGTGTGATCATTTTATAGGGCACGGTAGGGGAGGGGGGGGGGGGTTAAAATCTGAAAGAGTGCTAGCCCAGTCCTTTATTCCAAGCATTTATATTACTTGGAACGCATCTAAGCAAGATGGAATGATCACAACACACCCATGTTCACAGTCCTTTTCAGTCAAACCAAAACAGTTTGCGAGGAAACCTAAGACTTTGGAAAAAAACTGTTTATTATTACTTGTACATGTATTGCATTTTCGAAGGGCATTTTACAAAAGTACGAAAACAGAGACTTTTGGTCCACGATAAACCTTTAACCTTCTTTCAAAGTGAATTACATCTCCAAATGTATGTACGTCAAACAAGTGAAAACAAGACGTTGAACGCAGCATGGAGCGGTCCTGGTGTGACGTCAGAGCCTTCCTTGGAGGGACAGAAGTCCTTGGGCGGACCAGCTTTCCATTCAAGGATGCATTGTGTAAAGACTGGGTGTTTATCCAAGTTTCGATTGTTTGGGTCTCTCTCGGCCTGGGTCTGAGATTGTAGGTGACCGCTTCTGCGAAGGCCTTGATCCGTTTGTTCCCAAACTTTTGGGTTGATGGTTCAGCGATCCCCAAGCAAAACAGATCATTACTAACCTTTTTTCTTTCTTCGATCTCGATGTTGTTGGATTGGTTTCTGTGTTATTCATTGATTTACAGAGACTTTGTTGATATTTGCTTTATGCATGTTGGTTTATTGTACACCAAGCCATGCTTGGGTTCATGGCACGCTCTGACGCAAGTTTTTTGAAGGATACTGATCGGCCGACACAATAGTAGTTATCTGACCTAGGTATAGAATATACCAAGGGGGGTCTTTTGTATGATTTTTGTCAACAAAATACAAAATCTATTAAAGCTCAAAAGAAAGGAACAGAAACCATTTATTTTCATATTTTGAGGGTCAGATTCGTTTGTCATTGTTGCTCTTTGTTGAATGCCCTAACTAAACACCGATGTGAGATTAACTTTTTGAATGAGATGGATAGGATACGTCTTCTTTGTTCATACTTTGTTTTTTAAGTCGAAAGCCTATTTGCAATACAATTTTTTCTTTCTCTCCAAACTTTCTTCCTTGTTCTTTGTTTTTTGTCGCTGCTTACTGTCAGTAGGATTTCCATTTTCAATTTTTCATGCACTTACATGTAAATGCACCTCTCTCTCTCTCTCTCTCTCTTTCTCTCTCCATCTCTTCCCCACCCCCCCCCCCCCCCACCCCCACCCCTCTCCCCCTCTCTCTCCAAAATCATGAAAATGATGTCTTGTTTCTGTTTTTTCTTTGTTGTTGGTTATATTTGTGTACTCATGATCATGACCGTCGTGAGCCATGCAAAAATATAATGTCAAAGACAAAGTGAATGTTTATTTTTTGAGGCAGGTTCCCTAACGTATTTTTTTAAACTCCACTTCATACAAATTTGACTGGAACATGAAAAGAGGATCTCGTTAATCCCATAAAATACTCAATTTGTGCTTGCCAAAGATTTTTTTTAAAAATTAAAAAAATAGAAGATGAAACGTTGAAAAGTATCTGCATGTGGTCATTGATGATTAAACGATAAGCAAAGAAATGGGACAAAGTTGATCTTAGGGCGTACATGTACGTCATTGAAATGGGATTTACCAAATGTGAAGGCTGTTTTAGAGAAAGGGACAAAGACTGGAAATGGTTTCCAGCTAGGGCTCTGGGGTTCTAGGGCTTTCTTTTCTACCTTGATTACTACCTGCTGTCAGTAAAAAAAAAAGGAAGATATTTCGGCCTTCAGGGGGAGTTGCCCCTGAAAATGGTAAAAAGTCCTGAAGGCCCCATGAATAGATAGAAAGAGCCCCCAGATTATTTTTTTTCAAATGATTACAACTCACTGTCAGTGAAAAAAAGTTAACAGGGGGGTTTAGGGTGAAGTCATTCCTGAAAATTCTTTTTAAAAAGGTGTTAAAAAGGTACCCCATGAATAAAAAAGAAAGAGCCCCCATATAATTTATGATAAGAATTACAACATCCCATCACTGAAGAAAATAATGAGTGATTCATGCTGACATCAGTAAAAAGCCCCTGTAAAGTGTAAGAGCCTTTGAAAGTTGTGTACAAGGCTTCAATAGAGGATGCAGAAAAATGAGTATTGATTTAAAAATTCAATATTAAAAGACACTGCAGCCTATATTAAAGAATTGTGTCATTTGTGTATTCATGTATTTATCTTGAGAATTGACATGGCTAGATATTCTTATCTGTGAGTGTGACACCAGCAAACTGTCATTGGGCGGCCGTGAGCCTTAGATATATACATAATGAATCGATTGTTTTAAGGAAGGAAATGACCACGCCTGTTTACTGGTCATTATCAAGTTTCACTACCATTACAAAGTTGTGTTTGTAGAACCCTGGTTCGTAGCCTGTTCACACTAAAAAGAAACATCAAATAGATCCTTCACGTATAACCAGTTCACACAAAATGTTGTTGAGAACCCTCACGTATAATAGCCTGTTGACACTAAAAGAATTGTATTGAACCCTTACTCATAGCCTGTTCACACTCAAAAGAAATATTACCTAGAATCCTCACTCATACATGTACATGTAAGTGTATTCACACTGTAAAGAAAGGTTGTGGGAATAATCCCTAGGGGCATGCACACATGAAAGAAATGTATCATATAAAGAAACATTGCATTATGAATCTAGTTTTGAAGACATCAGTTGATATATGTTTAGTCTTGGCTTGAATGACAGCCGACCAATCAACAGTGCCCACTCACAATAAGCTACGTCCAGTTAGTTGATTAGTTATGATATGACGTTCACAAAAGAAGCGAATCCTGATTCATTTTCCTAAATGAATTTTTCTTAGATGCCATTCACACTAGCAATAAGGAATTACTTTCACATAGCTATGCGGTTTTCTTACATCTTGGGAGAGTTTCACAAAGACTAAGATTTACTTTAAAGTTGGACTTAACTATGGCAGGCCATTCATGCCACTGGTTGCTCTCACTATTTGTCTCTCAATTATCATCTTTAGATTATTTTTTTAATTCAATAAGGAACTATCAAAAAATGTAAATTCTGTAGATTTGTGACCACGATTTAAATATGTCCCTTGAAAAGCTAATGCCAGGAATGGTTAGAGGAACTAGTGGCATGAACGGCCTGCCATAGTTAAGTCCAACCTAAATTTGATCTTAGTCTTTGTGAAACACCCCCCTGTACGGTGAATTTGGCTGGTCTGAATGGATGTAAGCATGGAAACCACAGTTGTGTTTTGAGCACTTCCCACAAGCTGCTGATAACAGAAAACAATTGAAGCTCTTTAAGTTTAATCATTTGAACTTCTCATTTCCTTCAAAGCACGTGGAGGAGTTGCGATTACGGACGATTCAATAGGAATTGTGTCATAGATCTCTGTTCTCATGGAAACCATCGGTATTGTGTCATGACCTTTTATGTTGTAAGGACTCTTCAAGTGAAAACTGCATTTCTTTCCACCCTTTTTCCAAATATTTTGTCAAGAGGTACGGTGTGGGTGTGTACTTTGACGGAACATTTCAAACTTATCAAACTTCCATATCCTAAAAGGGTAGGTGTTAAGATCCCCTTTAGTGCAGTGCTCAAAATATTGCAAGGTTGGGGAAAGGGGGGGGGGGGTAGGCACTTGGACAATGTGGTCCATGATTGATTGAATTAGCTCTTGTAGCCCTCTATACAGCCTGTTTTTTATTCTTGAGATCATTTTTTTTTTCTTGTTGAAAATATAATAAGCCTGATAGAAAGAGCCCTGAAGAAGGGGGCATGAAACTTGGTTCACCTTCCCAAGTTTTCATAATTTGTTAAATTTTATTTTGTTATAGATGTACAGACATACGAATGTAAATTGATGTCCTGCCAATTAAGAAACTTTCACAATTTGGTATTAAACAGACGGCTGTTTTATGGCAAGAGACTTTCACCAGTGGCAAAATGTCAGTGTTTTGATTCATTTTGCAGCACATTATGTTGTTACATAAAAGCAAGCAAACAAGCAATGCTTTTCAGAAATTAGCACCATGTACCGGTAAAATTAAACAACATCACCAAAGGCAAAAGGCCCATTCTTTGTAGGAGATCATTTGCATGTATATTTATTGATGAGTAAACGACTTGAGTCAGAGTACAGGGTCACCCTGACTGAAACAGGATGTCATTCAGAGTGTTATAAGACCGTGTCTAAACTTCCACGTTGTTATAATAACCACACAGGAGGCGTGACTTGAATTAGCTTCCCTTTAATAGTTGTGGCGCTGTAAAGCACATTCAACAATCGTGTGAATCCTGTAAAGAAACAAAAATAAACAAAGAATGACTATTGATTCAAAATACCCAAATTGTTCCTTTTTCCTTAGATTACATTCTTTGTAAGCAAACTTGAGTAAATACATGACCTTCAAGGGTGTATTTAAGTTTAAGACTATAGTGTAAAGCAACTAGAAGTAAAGATCCACATTCGAACTCTTAACAAATAACTATTCATTTCACTTCTTTACTCTAATAAAAAGTGTCTTCTTTAAGCAAAATAAAATGTGTTGTTTTGTCTCGTTTCTGAATTACATAAAAACTCCATTTAGCATACTATAAATCACATTACAAAAATCCCCTTTTCAAGTATTAAACGAATAACTCGATATTACCTAGGGCGACATAAACAAGACTAACCGTAAGGCGGATCACTAAACCTGGCGTCTAAAAATATCCCTCCGCTATATAATCTGTACGTATAGGTATTACAATTCACTGAAGTCCTAAAATAGCGTAAGAAAAATAGGTCTCACGTGTCATCCCGAATTTATGAAATATGACACCAAAACAATAATGAACGTCTCCAGATAACTTATAAACTATCATGAGATATTTCAGCATCTCTTACACTTCCTTGAAGTATATAACCAAGAATTATTTTACAAATTATCAATCACTTTCACAAGTACCGTAAGCACAGTCAAAACCAATACGGACTTTTACCACTATCCAAACTTCAAAAGAGGCCCAAATTTGTCCTACAAACCTCAAAAACATTAAAGATACACGTACAATCCTCGCATAACATACACTCATAAGAATAATAGCACGGAATTAAACATACCTTCAGTTTTTGATTATAAATGAAGGAAAAACTAGGATCAACCAACATGGTTGATGAACCTTCGTACGGTCTTGTTTTGCGCTGTAGCGAAAGTGCTGATAGTCTCAATTCAGGTAAAAAGGGTAATTATTCTGCCGCGTAACAAATACGGGGAAAAATAATGTCATGCCTTGACATCCCGACCCCCTAAGCGTGACGGAATGTCACAAAAACACAATAAAACATGATTTAAAGACTTAATGGAACACTTATAAGATCAAAGAGAAATACAACGAAATCACTATCCTCTATAAATTGCCCATTAATAGCAATTTTTCTTCGAGCTGTTCAAATGTCCAGTAATCAACAGTTCTTGAACCTTTAAATGTCTGAATTTTTCTTCAAGCTGTTTAAATGTCTGAACGTTCATCTCGCTTCATCAGGGATACAAGTTTTGTGATCGGCCTGGTGGCACGCGTCCCATCTGCGTATTTCACTTCGGCGACTCTAACAAGGCCATCCTGTCCAGGCTGAGTCCTGACTACCTCGGCCATCTTCCACGACCCGCGTTTTCTGTCATCACCGATGACGAGGACGATATCGTTCTCTTCCACGTTATCTGAAGATCGTTGCCACTTCTGACGTGGTGCCAACTTGTGGGTGTACTCCATCCATCTACGCCAAAAACCCTCCACCATTGTATTACACAGTTCACGGCGTTTCCGTAGATCTCCCTTGTAGTCCTCACAAGGAATATCAGGGCAGTTCAGATCTCCTCTCCCAATGAGAAAGTGATTGGGAGTCAGCGGTGGATGATCGAGAGGCGACGATGACATCGCAGTCAGGGGACGGCTGTTGATGAGCCCTGAAATCTTGCAGAAAACAGTCTCCCATTCTACGAAGGTAAGACGGTCAGCCTTCACAAGGTGCCTCATAGCTTTCTTTACTTCTTGGACCATGCGCTCTACTGCCCCTTGGTGATGGGGTCCTCCCGGTGGTCCGAACTTCCACTCAACCTTATAACGTTGACAGTGCTCCCGGACCTGCGTTTGGTTCAGCTTAAGGTTCAGCTCATTGATCGTGTTGTCAGCCCCTCGGAAACAAGTAGCATTGTCACTAACCATCATGGCTGGTGCTCCTCTAATACTGACAAACCTTTCTAAGGCTTGAAGGAATGCCTGAGTTGATAGGTCTTGGACTACTGTCAGGTGGACAGCCCTGGTAACCGCACATGTGAATAAGGCACCATATCCCTTGGTCGTGGTATTACGATTCAGCTTCACCATTACTGGGCCTAGGTAGTCCACCAAGGTAGTCTTGAAGGGTGGCGAACATGGGCTGACCCGAAACTCTGGTAAATCAGCCATCCTCTGGTTCGTCGGTTTGCCTCTATGCCGTCTGCAAGTGATGCAACAGCGTACAACACGTCGTGCAATGTTCATGTCCCCCACTATCCAGTACTTCTTCCGAACCTCATTTGCTGTCCGCAAATGACCACCATGAAGGGCATGTAGATGTCTATCGCATACCAGGAGGAAGCTGATATGACTCTTCTTCGGAAGAAGATATGGATGGCGAATGTCATACGACAGCGGTGCTCTACCTAGACGTCCACCAACACGGTACACTTCACTGTCCTCATCGAAGAATGGGTCCAGCTTCTGTATATTGGAATCTTGGAAGTTTATCTCCTTCTGAGCTTGTCTGACCCAATACAGTTCTGCCTCTTTGATCATTCTTTGGGATGGCCATTCAGAGATCTGCCGGAGGAATTGCTTCAGCCATTGATTCCGGGGAAGCTCCTTGAGGGATAACACCCTCGCCGTGACCATCTGTAGCTTTGACCAGCTGGAGAACTTGGTAGCATCAACAATCGGGGAATTCTTGGACACAGCATTCACAGTTACTGAGAGGATCTTGGTGTTTCGGGAGTGAAACTTCTTCTGTTCAGGATCTCCCGGTTTGACAGGAACATTTTCTGGTGTCCTCGGCCAAGAATGAGGAGGTAGTCTCAAGTACTTTGGGCCCTTGATGACCTCCTGCATGTCTGTAACAACGCCTCCTCTGGAAATGAGATCAACAGCATTTTGATCCGTGGGAACGTAGGCGATATCACTGTAGGGGTCAAATTCAGATGTGATCTCACCGACTCTATGTGCGACGTAAGATCGGAAGGTCTTAGACTGCCCTCTAAGCCAACTAATCGCTGTCATGCTGTCTGTCCACATCTTCCATCCGACTATGCTGAAGCGTAGAGCATCTCTGATGGTGATCATCAGTCTGGATAGAAGGAGAAGAGCTTGTAGCTCCTTCCGAGGCATGCTTGTCTGTTTCAGAGGTGTCACTCTAGATCTGGCACAGACGAAGGATAGATGAGCTTCTTGGCTGTCAGCATGTGACCATCTCAGCCACACTGCAAATCCCATGGCGTCCTCTGAAGCATCACTGACACCATGCATGGACACTATGGGTAGGGGTCTCGTTCCCCTATAAGGCTCTGGTATCAGACATCTTGGGATCTCAATGCCGTCCATCTCATTAAGGTCTCTGTTGATCTTACTCATCATGGAGTAGAGCTCACTGCCTTGGTCAAGAGGGGAGTCCCAGTCAAGGTCCAGCTGCCACAACCTTTGAAGAAGAATCTTGGGGCGTACCAACAGTCCGGAAAGCATTCCAAAAACATCGTAATAGGATGCCGTTTGAGCAAGAATCTTCCGCTTGGTGAGGGTAGTATCCTCGAGGGGTTTGACCTTCTTCACTCTCAGTGTGTCCTTAGATAGATCCCAGCTGGTACCTAGGACAGTAGCAGTGTCTGTGTTTTCTGTCTCATCACAGACCTTCTTGACATTAGACTGCCACTTCCTTAAGTTGAAGTTTCCTTTCTTCAATGTCTCTGTCAGCTTGGACTTCAACTCTAGAGCTTCCTCAGCATTACTAACTGACTCGTTCAGGTCGTCCATATAGAATTGCTCGACGATCACTTTCTGTATCTTGTCATCATCTGGTGCATGCTCACGAGCCACATGTCTGAGGGTGATGATTGCTGCGGTTGGAGAGGGTTTATCCCCGAAAGTGACTGTTGTAAGCTCAAAGACTTGTATGGGATGGTTTGGATTCTCTCTGAAAACGAACCTGTGGAACCGAGCATCCTCTGGTGAAATCTTAATAGCCTGGAACATCTTGGATATGTCTGCGATCATGCCCACTTCATTTTCACGGAACCGGAGGGCCACCTCGAGAAGATTTGAGTTAACATTCTCTCCTTTGATGAGACAGTCATTCAGGGAACGCCCTTGGAACTTCGCCTTACCATCGTAAACTACCCGGACTGGAGTTGTTTTTGAGTCTTTAACAACCCCAAAGTGTGGAAGAAACCACATCCTTCTGCCTACATTCCTGTCTTGTTGCAACTCGTCCTGTGAAACCTGTCGGGAGACACCCCTTTCCAATTGGTCTCTCATTTGCCGGCAATAGACTTCCCACTCATTAGGCCGGTCTCGGAACTGGTTCTCCAGGCTCTTCTGCCTTTTAACTGCATAGTCATAGTTGTCTGGTAGTTCTTCCGGAGATCGCTTCCAAGGTAAGCGAACCTCATAAGAGCCATCTGGTAGCTGAGTAACACTCTTCTGCATGGATTCAGTTCCTTTCTCGTCATCAGAGAAGCATTTACATTTCCTGGGCTCCAAACCAGCTGTCTCGAGTCCAATGAACTCTTCCAGGGATCCTGAAGCAGCCACACTGACGTAGTTGAGGAGTGGTGCTGCATTAGCTGCTGGGCCTCCTTGAACAAACCAACCTAGAGGACATTTAACCGCAACTGGCTCATCTGGTCTGCTTCCCCTGATGTACTGTTCCCATACCATAAGGTGAGTATTGTCCACTCCAAGCAGCAGGTCAATGACTGGTGATGGGGCCACATCTATCTCTACACCTGTCAAGTGGTCATAGGACTGTAGATGCTCAGGGAAAATGACAGGTGTATTCCCGCATGGCTTATCTATCTCAGTAGCTGTCAACGGATAAGACCAACTCCTTTGTAAATCCTCAATCTCACAATCAAGGACTCTCAGCTTCCGCTTGATATTACTGCCGCCAACAAGGCTAAGGTCATGATCCTGGAAAAGATCACCCTCCATTCTGGGAAAGATTCCTGTTCTCACGAGTGTGGCCTGACTGCCTCCATCCAACAGAATGCGTACTAGGTGTCGTTTGCTGCCACATCGTAGATATCCCATCACGGTAGGTAAGGTAGCATGCAGTTTCCCTACATGGTTGATTGTAGAAGTCTGTATGGAGCTGTTAGACTGAGCGGGCCTCACAGAGTCTGCCTGGTTAGCATAGCCACTTCTCTGATCCTTATCTCTGGCATCACCATGGGCTTTGGGACAGATGGCAGGAAAGTGCTCGTCACTACCACATGTCTGGACTCGGCATGGTGCCCTGAACTGGCACTTGCTGCGGTCATGAGGGGGTTTCCCTGCAATACAGTTGTTATGACCACAACGGAAACATACACCATTTGCTTTCATGACTTCATACTTCTCCTTGAGTGTTAGGGCTTTGAACTTGTTGCAGATCTTGAGGTAATGAGAGGAGTTCTTAGGGTGTAGCGCACATTTCTGGATATCACGAGCATATGAAGGAGCCTCTCTGGAGTCCCAAGACACAGCTGCAGTCAAGGACTTAGAAACTCTTTTTGGTTCCATACTATCTGCGATGGTGGCTTTGGACTTCTCCATGAGAATTTGTTGCCGAAACAACCACTTGCTTAAACCTGAAATGGAGTCGTCAGCATTCTCATCCCGAACACTTTTGTAGTAGTCCATTCTGTGATCTTCTGGGAGTTTCTGTTTTATTTGGGTAAGCATGATTCTGCTATTGAGCTCCCCAGCCAGGCCGATGGTTTCCGCCTGGCATTCAAAGTTCTGAAGTACCTGGATGAATCGCGCCATAGCTGGAAGATTCACCTTTCCTTTATACTCGTATGGCTTGAGACCATCCAAATCTTGTAGCAAACTGTCCACCACTCGGTCCTTGTCATCAAAACGTTCATCCAGCATCTCCCATGCCCTTGCTACGCTTGAACAGCTTTTGACCAAGTTTCTCTCCCTTTGAGACACCA